TTTTTTTTTTCTTTTGCAGCGTGTTAGGCCTCTTTCCAGGCGTCACACGTGCCAAAATGTGGAGGTTTGGACTGGAAATCGCACCGACGAAGCGACGAATCCGGCCCGGATGATTTGACTTTGCTGCAGCGCCTCGGAAAGCTGAGCGGCGATAGGAATGCCAAGGCGGTGCGCGGTGCGACGTCTTCTTGGCTCTTGCTAACTCACCTCCATACCATCCCCATATACCTACTTTGGCGCCATGCTGGACTTTACCACCATCGAGCCGCAGCGCTACATCCCGCTGATGGGCCTCGGTCCGCTCGGCTCCCAGTTGCAAGGCGTCTTGTCCAACGGACCCTTCAAGGCGTCCGCCTCGCTCCTCTCCAGTGGCAGTGCCAATGCTTCGGCACCCGCCAAGCCCGAGTCCGGCCTGGCCACTCCCACGCTCTCGGGGTCGTCAACCTCGGACTCCACGCAGGAGCTGCTCGATCTCGAGAACGGACCGTCGCGATACGCCGCGTACGCGATGCGGCTCAAGACGGTCATTGTAGCCTCGTCGCGCTACGTGGCCTACTCGTCGGACATTGGTGAAGCGTTCCGCCCACTCACCAGTCCTGCGTTCGTGCGCGGTGCATACGCAGTCTCCTGGACGTACATCCTGGGCGACGTGGTGTATGCCGGCTACAAGGCAGCGCAGCAGTACGAGGCGCTTGCATCCACCACGTTCTCCAAGTCCGGTCCGGTGCAGGAACTCGAGTCGGAAGCAGCCAAGCTTGCGGACAAGGCACTCACGTCTGCGCGCGAGAATCTACCGCTCGAAAAGCTGCTTGACGCAAAGACGCTCAACGCGCTTTCGCCCACGGAGAAGGTGGAACTGCGAAAGCGCCACGTTGAGCGTCTGGCCGAACAGGGCGACCATGCCGGTGTGGACCCGAACCAGGTATCGGAGGCAACGCACGTCGGACTCGTCATGGCAAGACGCGCTGTGTTCCAGAGCATCGCCTCGATGGCACTGCCCGCATTCACCATCCACAGCATCGTGCGCTACTCGGCACCCGTGTTCGCAAAGGCAAAGAGCCAGAGGATCCGTGCTGCAGGCCCCACCGTCGCAGGCCTCATGTTCGTCCCCGCCCTCCCCTTCCTCTTTGACGAACCTGTCGAGCATGTGATCGACTTTGCCTTTGACTGGATCCAGGAGCGTCTGCTCGGCGGTCCCGCTGCGGCTCACAAGGTCGTCGAGGCCGCCAAGGAGAAGGTGCTCTAGCCATCCAACCGTGTAGACTGTCGTGATACTGCTGCATCCATACTGTGTCTGCAATTCAATACAACGTAGAGATATGGTCTTCAGCCGCTCGTGTGATGGTGTTGATCGGCCGCCATGGGCTTATGCTTCCATGCTGGGGTAGGGCTGGAGAAAGGCCGCAGTGTGGAGGCGGAGTCGGACTTTCGAGCCGCATCCGTTACGGAAAAAGCGCGCCCACGGGCCAACCCCACACTCTGCTGCTTTCAGAAGCTTTCGATCCTTCCAACCACACTTCGTCCACCACAATCCCTCACGTCCACCAGCTTTGCGGCTTGGCAACACGGGCGAGATGTGGAAGCTGCAGCTCGTTTCCACGCGGCGGTCGCTTTGCTCTCTCGCCACGCTGCTGCTGGTATGCCTGCTTGCACTTGTTGGTGCAGTTGCAGCGTCGATGCAGACCATCGATGCGGACGAGTACATTCGTCTGCACAATGCCCCCCCTACAACCAGCAAAGACAGCTCGAATCGGACCGTGCTGGCGTACATCACGCCATGGAATTCCGAAGGCGCTGCGATGGTCGATGCGCACGCGCACAAGATCGACTTGGTCTCGCCCGTGTGGTACACGGTGCTGGTCGCACCCACCAACTCCACCACGCCAGACGCCACATACATCCTTAGCGGTGGACCACCCGGTAAAACAGAAGAGACGTGGCTCGCTGAAAGGCTGTACCAGCCCTGGCCGCGACCTCGCATCGTGCCTCGATTCTACCTCGATGGATGGCAGCAAAAGGACTACGCAGACCTCCTCTCCGCCCCGTCGAACTGGCACCGGCTCGCCGAGCTCATCGCCACCGAAGTGCACACGCGCAACTACGGCGGCGTGGTCTTCGAATCCGCTGCGACCCATCTACTCTTCGAGCCGATCTCAACCCTCAACTCTGCACTGAAGCGGGAGGATAAGAGTCTGACCGTGGTCATGCAGCCCGTACGCACGCCGTACTCGATTGGAGCCAAGGTGGATCGCATGCAAGACAGTCAGAACCGCATGATTGTTCAGTCCATTCCACAGCTCGCTGCAGTCGTGGACTTCTTCTCCATTATGACGTACGATATGTCCTCCGCCAGTGGGCGCATCAGCTCGTTTGAGGGCAAGGATTTTGCCGACGACAGTCCCCTGCGCGGTGCGAAGAGGGGAAGCCTTAGACAGCCTGGACCCAACACCAGCCCGCGGTGGATCAAGCAGAATGTTGATCTGGTTCTCACCGCCACTCGAACCGCATTCAAAGCCAGTCTCAACCCAAAGAACGACGATGCGGACGAGGAGGAGAGGACGGAAGCGAGGTTGAAAGATCCTAGCAATCCGTTTTTGTATTCGGATTTCGCGGCTACAGAGGAGCTGATCGAGGACGAGGAGAGGGATGAATTGGCTGCTGTGCGCGGCAAGCTGTTGATGGGCATGCCCATGTATGGATACCGCTATCCATTGTTCTGGATCGACTCGACAGGTCAAGGTGTCCCCGTTCCTCCACCCAGCACACCGCGCGAAGCGGAACACTTGCACGAGCGCAGTGCACCATCGGCCTCGAACAGGGTCGTCCCCTTCCTGCGCGGGCCGGGAGAAGCAGTGACAATGCAGGGTATCATCGATACTATCTCCGACCACACAGGCGTGATTGTCAATCCAGACCAAACGCACGCAGAGGGATGGTTCGACTACACCCAGATCATCACCAAACACGATGCAATCCCCGGCGCAAAGGAGGGCGACCACCTTTATTGGCGTCTCTACCTCCCCCTTCCGCACTCGACGCGCGCCAGGACAAACGCACTGAAAGAACTCGAGGATGCAAACCCCGGTCTCAGCCTAGGCGTCTCGCTCTGGGAGCTTGGCCAGGCTAGTCCTCTCCTTCTCAACCCGCTCTAGACCACGCTTTGCAAGCTAGATTTCTCTGCCGATGATCGAGTGGAATGCGAGGCAAAAGGTGAGGTGGAAATTCCAAGATGTAGCTGAAACAACGACGAGAAGGCAAGGGAAGAGAGAGGGCGACTATGTGAGGAGCTGCCTAAAGTACGGGTGGACGAGGCTGCGTTTGGCCGAGGTGCGTCCGGCGGGGTCGTAGACGAGCATGCCTTCGAGCAGGTCGAGACCCGTCTCGTCGAGTCCCGGCACGGCCTGGCGGAGGGGTTTGCCGGCCCATTTTGGGAAGCTGTCCTTGTAGTCCGGGAGCTGCTGGACTCCCGGCCAGATGTCGTCGGTGGGGGTGCCGAGCGTGCGGAAGATCTTGAAGATCTCGTCGATCTCCGAGTCGCCGGGGAAGAGCGGGTGGCGCATGGCCATCTCGGCAAAGATGCAGCCGACGGACCACATGTCGATGGCGGTCGAGTAGTGGCGCGAGCCGAGCAGCACCTCGGGAGCGCGGTACCAGAGCGTGACCACCTCGTGGGTGTAGGTGCGCAGCGGGATGCCGAACGCGCGCGCGAGGCCAAAGTCGGCGAGCTTGAGGTTGCCCTCCTTGTCGATGAGCAGGTTCTGCGGCTTGAGGTCGCGGTGGAGGATGCGGTGGGCGTGGCAGTAGTAGAGGCCGCGGATGAGCTGGTAGGTGAACTTGCGCACGATCTCGGGGCCCATGCCTTCGCTGTTGCGGTTCCGCGAGACGTTGTCCATGTATTTGCGCAGGTCGAGGTCGAGGAATTCAAACACGAGGTACAGCTTGCTCTCCTGGTGCACAATGTCGAACAGTCTTACGATGTTGTCGTCGCGGAGCTCCTTGAGTAATGAGATCTCGCGGATGGCTGTGGAGGGGACGCCCTCATCTTCTGCCTCGAGACGGATCTTTTTGAGCGCGACGATGCGGCCGTTGGCGCCTGGCGTGAGGTCCTTGGCCTTGTATACGACGCCGTACGTGCCTGCAAACGGGAGGAGCAGTGAGTGAGCAAGTGCCGAGGCTCAGGAGCACAGCATGGGCGACTCAAGCGGAACTTACCTTCGCCGACCTTTTCGATCCTCTGGTAGTTGTCCATGGTGCGCGTCTATGGATAGAGGCGGGTCTGCTTCGGACTGATGCGAAGCAAGGCTAGGTGAAGCTTGCGCGTACGAGCGAGATGCCACTAGTGTTGAAAGTAGCCGGGTTCTGCCAGGCGACAGCAGGTGCGCAAGGGCAATGTCGGATGCGCCGTGCGAGCTGCGTGTGATGTGCGGCGATGGGTGTGACGTTGTCGAGAGGCGGGTGACGGTGTCGAAGAGGTGACGAAGTGTGACGGTCGCGAGTGAGGCCATTAGCTGCAGACTCGCATTGAGCCAACACGCCGAGTTGCCAGGATTCAGCTTTCGAGAATTGGCCGTTTCGCGCGAGTTGCGAGTGGCCCAACTCGCCGCGCTTGGCTGCCCAAAAAAGTGTTGGTCTCTCGCTTGGGTTGCGAGTTGCGGGCCAGCAGCAGCGACGCCTCGCAACTTGAGCCAGAGCGCGGCTGCCTCGACGCACCCGACGCGCCTCGATCGAAAATCGGTCGCGCCAAACCGAACCAACACTTTTTGGCGGCGTCGGCGGCAGCAGCAACGACTGCTGCTGCTGCTGCTGGCACCGCTCGGCGCGTCGTCTGGCTGCCGTCTGGCTGCCAATGTGCCAATCTGCCCATTCCCGGCCGCTTCCCCTTGCCTTTGCTAGACCCGCTTATGTCGCTCGTTCTCCATCGACCACTGTCAACGTTGCACCATTCGTTGATGCGATCTGCCAAGCTTGGCAACGCGGCCTCGTCGTGGCACCTTCCTCGGATGAAGCCGGCGTCCCCAGCCAGCCTAGGCCCGGTCGGAAATGAGAGAGCGCGCGATGCACCTCGGGAAAGCGGCAGCCCGCGACGCCGAACCCAGCGAACCTTGCGCGTCATCAGGCGATCCCAGTCGTGAGCCCGATGAGATCGTCTGGCACCGCTGAAAATGACAAGGCTTAACAAATTTGACAAAAGTGCAGTTCATGCCGCGGAGACTTGGTTTCATGCCGCGAGAAACGCTCGGCTGGCTTCCCTCCGCACACAGCGGCAGGCCAGTGACGGCGGCGGCTCTTCATTGAGGTGTCAGATCCAGTCAGCCGAGCGTGTGGATTTGCTTTGCCGGTGTCAAAAGGCTACTCAGCGCAGCCGACTCCGCCGCATGGACCGCTTTCCAACTCGTACCCTCCTCCCAACCCACGGACCACGCCTCGCCGAACGTAAGCTTGGCTTCCACGTCGCAAAGCTAGTTAGCCCCCCTTTCAGACATACAGCACAGCCTACTTAAGGTTCACCTCCTCTCCGTCTCTGCGCCCCTCCCATGTTGAGCACTCTCCCATCGCGATCCCTCGCACGTCGCATCTACACTTCCTCCTCACCCGCATTGGCGTCTCTCCCTAGAAGCCTCCTGCCTTCCGTCCGTCCAACACTGCGCTCCGGCTCACCTGCGCCTGCAAGAATGTCGTCGAGCACGTCCAATGCCCCTGGCTGGTCCACTCAGCCCAAACCCTATCCTGCCGCACGCCGAGACGACTCGGCTTCCTTGACGTACAAGTCGGCTGCCAAGGGCTCCGTCACCGTCCCCGAGCCGTACGCATGGCTCGAGCAGCCCCCATCGCAGTCCGCAGAGACCAAGGACTGGGTTCTCGCCCAGGCCAAGCTCACCCAGAACTACCTCGACGGCTGCCAGCCCGACCTCGACATCCTCAAGTCGCGCATCCAAAAGAACTTTGACTTTGCCCGCTTCTCCTGCCCCTCTCTCAAGGGCGACGGCCGCTACTACTACTCGTACAACTCGGGTCTTTCGCCCCAGTCGCTCATCTACACCGCCTCCAAGCAGCAGGTCGACGCCAATGCAGGCAAGAACCAGCGAGACCCCATCGGCGACATCTTCTTCGACTCCAACCTGCTCAGCGCAGACGGCACCGTCGCACTCAGCTTCACCACCTTCTCGAAGTCGGGCAAGTATATGGCGTACGGCATCAGCAAGAGCGGTAGCGACTGGACGGAGATCTTTGTGCGCGAAACCGCAAAGCCCTTCAAGCTCGATGACAAGCACTACAACCCCAACGGCACCATCAGACTCTCCAAGGACGAGCTTGCACAGTACGTCGACGCCACCGGAGGCAACGACAGGCTCGCAGACCGCATCGAAAACGTAAAGTTCTCCAGCGCCACCTTCACGCATGACGACAAGGGCCTGCTCTACCAGACCTTTCCCTCCGCCTCGGTCTCGGACAAGGGCACCGAGACCGATGCCAACAAGGACGCACAGCTCTGGTACCACCGCATCGGCACGCCGCAGAGCGACGACGTGCTCGTCGTCAGCAAGGACACCAAGGTGCCCGAGTCCATGTGGAGCACCAACGTAACCCACGACGGCAACTTCCTCGTACTTTACAACAGCAAGGATACCGACACCAAGGAGCGAGTCTTTGTGCTTCCCCTCCACGGCAAGGGCCTCAACGCTGCCGACAAGCTCAAGTGGATCCCGCTGGCGCTCTCGTTCAAGTATGTGCTCAACTACGTCACCAGCAAGGGCAACCGCTTCTACTTTATGACCAACAAAGACGCGCCCAACTACCGCCTCGTCTCGGTTGATCTCGACCCGGCCACGCAGGCGCAGGAGACAAGCAACGTGTGGGAGCTCACGGGCAACGACGTCGAGCTGCGCGACGTGATCGCCGAAGACAAGGACGCGCTGCTCTCGTCGGTGCAGGTAATCGACTCGAACAAGCTGCTCGTCGTCTACTCGCGCGACGTCAAGGACGAACTGTATCAGTACGAGCTCGAGACCGGCAAGCGCGTCGAGCGACTCCTCCCGGATCTCGTTGGCACCATCGACCAGATCGCCGCGCGTCACGAAGACGACCATGCCTTTGTCAAGTTCGGCTCGTTTGTCAACCCGGGCCAGGTGGTGCGCCTCGACTGGCAGGCGGGTTCGGCCCCGGACGCACCCAAGGCGAAGCAGACCGCCTACTACGACACACAGGTCGAGGGGATCAAGGCAGACGACTTTGTGTCCGAGCAGGTCTTCATCACCTCCAAGGACGGCACGCGAGTGCCAATGTTCGTTACGCACCCCAAGACGGTCAAGAAGGACGGCAGTGCGCCGGCAATCCTCTACTTCTACGGCGGCTTCAACATCCCGATCACGCCCGTCTTTTCGCCCTCGATGATGTCGTGGATCGCGTCGTACAACGGCGTGCTCGCCTTTGTCAACTGCCGTGGCGGCGGCGAGTACGGCGACAAGTGGCACGAGGCAGGCACGCTGCTCAACAAGCAGAACGTGTTCGACGACGCGCTCTCGGCCGCGAAGTACCTGCACGAGAGCGGCTACGCGGCCAAGGGCAAGATCATCCTCTCCGGTGGCTCCAACGGCGGCCTGGGTGTCGCAGCGTGCATCAACCAGCAGCAGCCCGAGCACGGTATCGGTGCCGGAATCGCCGATGTTGGCGTGATGGACATGCTCAAGTTCCACACCTGGACGATCGGCAAGGCGTGGTGCGCTGACTACGGCAACCCGAGCGAGGACCCAGAGATCTTTGACTACGTCTACAAGTACTCGCCGCTGCACAATGTCGATGCCAACAAGGTGTACCCGACCACGGTGCTCGCGTGTGCCGACCACGATGACCGTGTCGTGCCGGCGCACTCGTTCAAGCTCATGGCTGAGATGCAGCACAAGCTCGCCGCCAACCCGAACCCGCTGCTGCTGCGCGTCGAGATCGATGCTGGTCACGGTGCCGGTAAGAGTACGCAGAAGAGGATCCAGGAGGCCGCCGAGAAGTACGCCATCGTAGGCAGGGCGCTCGGCCTCAAGATCCGCGAGGACGGTAGCCGGCTTTAGATTCGCATGCGCCGGAGATGGCAATTCAACACGAGATTGAATATGCTCGCTGCCCGAGCGTATGGTTGTGTTCAATGCCAGAGGGGAACCGGGGTGATGTCTTGAGAAGGTGACGCGTGACACGAGTCGCGTGAGGCGCGTCTGACGCGTGTCGCGTAAAGTGGTCCTTTCCCTTTTTTTCTCGGCAGCCGGGCGAGGCGGGGATGTTTGGGAGAGACGGGAATGAATTTCTGCACGGGCGCACGAGCCAGATGCGCTGAACCCTTGGCGCACAAAGCCTTCTTGCTTTCCATCCGCACCTTGCTCAATCACGTTTACCACTCTTCCTACCCGCTACTCACCCTATCCACCTCTGCTCCATCTTATTACCGCTCAAAAACGATCCAACATGGTTCTGGATACACTCGGCGCCGACGATGACTACGAGGCGCAGCGCGCGGCCAACATCAAGGCGAACCTGGAGCTCATGATGTCGCTCGGCCTGTACCAGACTTCGAAGCAGCTGAACCCCACCACCCCCAAGCCTAAGCCCAAGGCCAAGGCCAAGCCTACGCCCTCTTCTGAAGCTGATTCGCCACGTAGTGAAGAGAAGCGGGAACGGCCTCGACGCATCACTCGCTCCGTGTCGCGTGCCGAGTCGCCACAGGTGCCGCGATGGGGGTTGAAACGCGCTGGATCGGACCAGGGCATGTTTGCACGCAAGCGCCGCCTTGCCGACGACTACGATCCGGACACCTTCGACGCCGAGTCGGACGAAGAATACGCTCCCAGACGACGCGGTGCCCTCAACCCTGCACGCCACCACCGCGATGAAGGCGAGCTGCAGCGTCGGGCGGATCGCCTGGGTGTGCGCATCCACGACCCGAAAACCTTTGGTGCCATCCCCGGCATCCCCGTCGGAACGCTGTGGGAGAAGCGCATGGATTGTTCCACCGACGCGGTCCACGCTCCCACCGTAGCAGGCATTAGTGGCAACGAAGTCGAGGGTTGTTGGTCGATCTGTCTATCCGGCGGGTACGAAGACGATGTAGACCTGGGGGATACATTCACCTACACCGGTTCTGGCGGACGCGATCTGCGAGGCACCGTGAACAATCCCAAGAACCTGCGTACGGCACCGCAGAGTTCGGATCAAAAGTGGGAGGGCAAGAATGCGGCGTTGCGCAAGAGCGCCCAGACGGGCAGGCCGGTGAGGGTGGTGCGCGGATACAAGGCGATGAACAAGTACGCGCCCGAGGAGGGCTACGTATACAGTGGCCTGTACAGGACGACGCACGCGTGGATGGAAACGGGCAAGGCCGGATTCAAGGTCTGCAAGTTCCGCTTCCAGAGGCTGCCGAACCAAGACCCCCTGCCCACCTTTGACCAGCAAGAGGAAGGAGTCGAGTCGGCGCTTACTTCGCCCGAGCCATCGCCGTCGCCTGAGCCCGAGGCGGAGGCTGAAGCATCGCCGGCTCCTTCGTGCGCATCGGTGGCGTCGGTGGCGTCGATGGGTTCGGCCGCAAGTCGATCGCGCAACCCGCTACTGAGCACGCCGGAATTCGACCGTGCCCAGTACATCATCATCTCCGACTCGGAAGACGACGAGGACGAGGACGACGAAATCGAGGTGGTGCTCGAACTCACAGTGCCGCGCAACAGGGCGAAGGAACATATCTCGCCGCGCAAGAGAAGGAGTTCCCGTCTCCCGCCCATGCGAAAGAAGTATACCCGCTAAAATCACTTGTACATAGCCCCACAGAATACCCACACATGCTTTCGAAGTCGGACTTGACGGCGTATAAAGATTCCGGGTGGAAGGTGCTACGCTTCGGTGGGCTGGGTTGGATCTTCGGCTGCAGGGGAAGACTCGTCCGCGGGTGCGTCGGCTTGGACGTTAGCCGATCCGGGCACCGACTTTGGCTCGCCGTCGGTGGCGTTTAGTTCTGCGGGTGCAGACGCTTCACTGACCGCACCAGGTGCATCCTCCGGCGCGGTCGCAGGTTGTCGTCCGCTGGCATTGGTACCGCTGGCCGGCTCGGACGCGGTCGTTGGGGTTACCGCATCCCCAGCAGCTGGCGCTTCCGTCGGCGGTGGTGCTCCCGCAGACGTCTCCAACGCAGTGCCAGATGCTGCCGCCACTTCCTGAGATTCGGCCTGAGCAGAGGCCTGCTGCGGTGCGGCTCGCGAATGTTGCTCCTGCTGCTGATCTTGTTCCTGTACCGTTGGCTGATGCTGCTGTTGCTCACC